AATATGAGTATACCGGTGCCGATTGCAATAAACCCAATCCACCAAGCGCCTACCCATCGAGGGTCGCGACTATCGATACCCGGATCAACTAGAAAATTATTAATTAATTATTTCCATACATAAGGGAAATACAGTACAAATATTTTCATACGAAATGGGTTTTCATAATATGTCAGACAATAGGATGAGAGCATAAAACCAAGTGTTGGGCCACAGAGTTGAACCGCACCGGTAACACCTGCACCACAGGGAGAGAGGGAAGTCATAAAATGATAACAAATGAAATCCCTTTCCACTCAAAATACTGACTCAAATAAAGGGGCGAATTCTTCTTCTTGACGGAGTCGTCGATAAACGGAATTCCTATCGTATAAAAGGCCACAAATCCTATGCCGTTGCAAAAGCTGCCCAACCATAGCACCAGAACAGCCAACACTACGGTACTGGAGGCACCGGTAGGGCCATCGCAATCACGACCGTCCAGTCGGTTTGAATCGCAATACTCGACACTTGTATTCAACACTAAACCGTTGACATCGGTGTTCAATAGGTGTACTCCCGGGCCGTATATGAAGTATGGTAGGGCCGCCAAATAGCATCCCAGTACCACAACTAAATGGCAATAGGCGATCATACGGGGCCGGTGCGCACGGGTAGCTAAATAGCCAAACACTGGACTCATCGTGAGCTCCATCACGTTGTCGGCGATCAGTATAAGTCCGGTAACTTTACTGCCAAACGCATACCTCCGCTCTAATGTGGTGGTGCTGGCGATCATATAAGTGAATGCCGCCCCCTGTATGATACCAAGGGTGCCAAAAATGAACATGAACATTTTGGTTGAGGCAAACATTTGTAGCCATTGCGGTCTCCATGAACCCAAACCACATGTATATTCACTGGACTCCCGAGCCGTTGAGATATCACGACTTTTGTAAGTCATGTTAACTTTGATTTTGATTTTATATTTATTACTTTATTATGAATTAAGAATATTATACTATTTATTATAATTATTAATTATTCATTTGTTAAAACAAATTAAGGTGTTATTTATAAAAAGTTTAATTTGGATTTCAATTTAAAGTTTTATTGAATACTAATAATAATCTCAATTTATAATTGATTGAAAAACACGTTAATAACAGTAAACCTTTGCATTGGTATTACGGTTTATTTATATTCAATGCTAGCCATGACATTTTTATCAAATTATAATAATATCAGATTACAAATAAATGTTTTGAGCAAAAAATTAAATAAAAAATTGAAACAAATTAGATGAATATTATGACATTTTAAAGTTGTGTAAATTGCATAGATATATAATAATTTTAAAACTTTACTAAATAAATAACAATAGTCTAAATTATTTATAAATTGTTATGTCCATTATTATTTTTATTCAATATTTTATTATTTTTTAATAACCCAGATCATAGTGTAAATAATATCAGTGTTAAGCGCATACATATTGATTTAATCTACTACACACATGAATTTATTTATATTAAAACGATTAAATAAAGTATTTTACAAATACCAGGAAATTAATGATTAAATAATAATGTTAGTATCACTCAATTATTGATGTACTCAATTTTGTACTGAAAACTGAGTACAAAAATATGACTTCCCAGAGATCCATATGAGGGGACTGACTGTCCATCTCTGACATATCAGGCATGTGATGATTGAATGGATTTCTTGAACGTCTCATTAATACCTTTCGCCCAAAACCTGCGATAAAAAAGTAACAAAAATTAAAATCTATTGTAAAATAACATCTGATTTGAGAGAAATGTTTATGTCTTCCTATATATTAAAATTCATGAAAAGATGTTTTTGTTTTATTCATAAAAAATCAAAAACGTGAGATTTTTGCGTTCATTTTCCATTCAATTTAATTCATGTATTAATTTAATTGTTTTTTGTGCGAAAAAATCATTTTGAGATCAAATCCTATTTTGTGTTGAGAAAAAAGCTCTTAATCACTGTTTTGGTTCACATATTAAAATCTGTTTGTGTTATTGAAGTTTTCAATTGAAATGAAAAATGTTAAGTAATTGCTTTGTTATATCATTTCACTTCCTAATCATTTTGCAGTCTCTCTCTCTCTCTCTCTCTCACACACACACACACACACATCCATAATCAAAAACTATCGGCACATATATCTCGAAAATCTTCAAAATGACCTCAAATTATGACTGAAATTAACGGTTAGATTCATGTCATTGTATGATATATTAAATTATATGATTTACCCCTCACTTCACCCAAAATTCATAAAACCATAAAATGTTTGCATTTCTTAAGTAAAAAAGTAAATAGAAATCCATTTATGAAGATAAAAATGCATTATAATTATTCACATTAATGCATATCATTTTGAAATATCAGACAATCAATTTCCAATACCCCCTGTCCTAGTTAGGGTCGGGGTTGGAGACAGGACAATCTAGTCCTCCACAAACACGTTCACTCGCCTCCTCCTGTATCCGTGTCCACTGCACCCCAAGTCTACAACAGAGGTCTTTCATAATTGCCTCTGCCGACCTCCTTAGTGGTCTCCCCCGGGGTCGTGAACCTGATGGCTGAGCCGTATAGAAATACAATTATCCCGTTTTAGTCCCTTTCCCTTTTGCCTGTTGAAGGATTCCTATAATCTTTACAATAAGTAACTCTTTTAGCTGGTAATCAAGTGAATGATTGATTACATGTTTGTAAAGGACTTAACTATAAAACTGCAATATTACAATTTAAAATTTTAATCTCAAATGGTTATGATATTATCGCTGTGTTGTGGACATGCACCTTGAAATTACCGTTAGTTTTGTTATATATTTATAGCTATCAGTATTTTTATATTATACAATACTATAAATGTAATATTATAACAAACTAAACAATAATTAACCAAGAGTCTTTGTAAAATAAAAATATAATTAGTCGAAATTCATAAACATTTTAGTTTTTAAATCTTTACTGTATAAAACTATAAACCAATTATTACAATAAAATCATTTAAGCTCATATTGAGCTTGTGCAGTTATATATCAAATGTAATAATCTATATAATTTAACAATTAGTACACCGGTAACAACGGCCCTCACCCGAGGGATTATTTGGATCATCAGAGTCCTCGGGTATACACACCAAGTTGTGGTTCTGATTGCATGGGTCACTTTTCGAGCAAGTATCACCTTGCTCAGAAACCATTACATCGATTGATCCGGATAGGTTCATGGCCAATACCATGTTCACCAATAGAGCTATAATCAAGCGTTTGTTAGCCATTGTTGTCTACTGTCTAGTAGTGCATTGAATGCAATGCTTAATGAAATGCTATAAATGGCGTGAAATTAATCTATTTTATCCACATATGGTTCGAATTAGGTGTTAATTGAACAACCTCTAATAATGTCGTGGCTATAGTCACCTAACGCCACCATTTGGACACCTAACTCATTTACGTTCGCATTGATTATACATATATTAATAGTTAAAGCATACATCATACAATTGATGCTATATACTAGCTAGCCATTTTCATCGCACGTAAATTATAATTTTCAAGTTAGCCAAAAATGTTGGCTCATAAACTTTGTGACTTTACAAACTGAGTGAGAGATATAAAGTTGATATATTATTTTGATGTGAAATTATAAGTTACTGTATTTTAACAGTGAGTTAATGTACAAAACCTTATAACTACATGAAATCAATATGTTTTGGATTTCTTACAAACTTAATAATTCATATTTGTTTTTCATATAAGTTTTAATATTAACAGGTGATTATAAAAACATGAAAAAGTGTAATGATATTTGTGACAATAACATTTTTTATCTACTCATAATCTATGGTTATATTATTAAATATGTCTGTATAAATTCAAGTTAATTTAAACCCCAGAATACACTGTTATACATGTATATTATTAAAAATAGTATTTCTAATTACCTTTATTATTAGGTCGTACAGAAAGGTTGTTTCTGGCTATAATTTAAATTTCTCTGGAATGGCTTA